GAAAGGAATGTTTGAGAGGGATAGATGTTGGTAGCGGAAGACTGCTCACACTGAGGGGGAGTATTGTAAATGTGTCAGTGCGTAGCAGGGATAACACACTCTTGATGTATGAGGCTAGCCATGTTGGTCGCGTGGAAGCGAGATTGAGTGTGGTACTAATAGAAGACTTACTCCCGTTAGATTCTAGAGCCAGTTAATCTAAAAACCCTATTGAACCTACCTTCTTGCTTCCCTTGCACATTAGTACTCTGTCGGTGATAATTACACAGTAGGGTGCTTCTTTTCAACATTGCATGAAGAATCTGGTGAGTACAATGTGTCATGTAGCTTTATTGTGAGTTTACCAATCTTGATACGTGCAGTTCCGAGACTGTCAAGTGATGATACTCCTACTGCTTGATCAAATCTAAATGGTTTAGTAGTTTTGTTGATAAATTCAAAAGATGATTCATGTGGCACAAAATGGTGCAAAGCACCAGTGTTGTAAATTGTACGGCTTTCATTAACTTGAGCAGTTGCAGCTATAATAAAGTCTGCATCACTATCTTCAATATCATAAGTTGCCGCTACTCTATTTCTCCCTCTGCTAGAGTTTGTGCTACCCCGACTGTTTCTAGATGCAAGTTCGGGGTGTTGTCTAAAACAATCTTTGTTCTGGTGTCGGTGACAACACTGCTTGCAGATTGCCTTAGGATCTACGTTCCGTGTAATGGGAAGGGGTGTTGCATGCGCCACTTGGGCTGGCAATGTCCGATTTCCTGCAACAAAACGTAGTGATGACATCATTGTCTGCAATTGAACATATTCATCATTGGGCTTATATATTCTGGTGTCCCTCCAGTTTTTAAACCATTCAATCCTCTTGGTTCCCACCACAAATATGGCTGCTGCCTGACCATCTCCAATATGGTAACCAGAGCACTTTGGCGCAGCATGCGACGGTAATGCGTCCGCTGCGTTATTTACGCTCTGGATACCCGCCAGAAACCTGTCAATATAATCATCAGCAGTGGTCATGAATCTGATCATTAAAAAACTTTCGAGAGCTGTAGGATACGGTGCTGTAGCAGTTTCCTGCCGGATGCAAGCTACCGCATCAAACAGCTCTTTTGCTGTCATGTGATCATAGTTCTGAGGGCATGTTGATGATGAAAGCCTACTAGTAATCACGTTCTTGGCCTCAATCTCCCCTAGTAACCATTGCTCGAGTTTAATTTCATGCTCGGTAGACAGGTTAGGGAGATCTTCGGGGCTCGTATTACTAGAGCTAGCGTCGACAGGGGCGTGCACTGGTCGTAGTCCAGGCATGTTGTGGAATACGTGTCCCAAAACATTGCGTCGTGCGAGCTTTGATTAAAGACTTGTCTTCCACTTTGTAAATGAACCTCCGGGCTGGAGGATGATCTTGTTGTCGTCTCAGCGTTATTTTGGCGCAGCGGAATCGCCCGGGCTCATAACCTATTGTGGTTATAAGCTTAGGTTAGTATCACTATGCATGCTAACCTTGTACGAGTATATAGATTGATGAGTTTCAGATTGTGGTTGAAGGTGTATCTGAGGTTCACTATACTTGATTGTACTGCCCTAATTGTGTGCCGACCACTCGCTACTTATACTCATGTGCAGCCGCTAGTCGGCTCCTGACCACATGAGCTTCCTCCTGCAGATATCCCAAACGAAACAGGAACTACACAAACAGCGTAAACATCTAATCACGTTATGTACATGCAAGTATCCTAGCTGTAAAACATGCCCATCACAACAAGTTGGCCATACCTGGGCTCCTTGTTTTACTCGGTCTTTGTGAGCGTGGTTCAAGGCGTGATTCAAGATGTAGTTCAAGACGTGGTTCAATGTGTAGTTCAAGACGTGGTTCAAGGTGTAGTTCAATGTATCTCTATAACATGAATAAGACAAGAAGCTACTGAACATCAATGTTCCCCGAGTTCCTTAAATACATCTTTCTGCTCTTGTATTCCTACTCATATTTGCATGTACCATTCCATTCCTACTTCCCTAACTCCCTTAACTCCATGACCCATATGTAAGAATATACTACTACAAGAAGGATCGTTTGTGGTTAACCATGACATGACCAAACTCGTTACTTCTAAGCTAAGAAATTATTGCAACATAATGATGGAAGCGCTAGCGACTGCAATCAGTAAGGTAGTCGGCCTTAGCTCGATTAGGAAGCTGCTGTGAACGGAAATGATAAAATATGATGTAGCACGGCTCGTGTTATGACTCAATTTACACGGGATCATGTCAGTCTGGAGTAAGTTATGACAGTCTTTGAAATGGGGAACACACACTTGTAATGACTGCTTGTGATATTGGAAGTGTGAGTGTGTGAGTGATGAACAAATGTAAGTGTGCTTGATTTACTGTTTATGGTAGGAATGTCTATGCCTTTATATCCAGTTAACTTATTCACTGACCAATCACAAAGCCCACTAAGCTTCATGGTGCCATTTGTCCCAGCTAAGCAAACCCACCAAACCACTTCATGTGTCTTGTCCAGCCTTGCGCCTTACATGCCAATAGCCTTAGTACCCAAGGGTTACATTTTTGTTTTAGTTTTTTCATTAACGTGCTAGATAAAGTGACTACTGTTGCACTCCTACTGGAGCTTAAGCACAGGTGGGGCCAGGCTAGGTTAGGTTAACTACCATTAAGTAAATCTACCTCGTCGCACCTGAATGACCGGACCACCTCGGACTCCACCCATGTGTTGAATCATGTCAAGCCCAACCGTCCAGAGAACCTCCATTTGGCGCGCTGAAGCGCAAACTCCTCCTCAGCCTCGACCACCACGCGCCCGAGCCCTTGACACCTTCACAATCTGTAACTTTTCCCTTCCATTCATTTCCAGCTTTAGCTCAACCCAGCATCTCCTCATCTCATCCTGGGGTAATTTTCTTCACTGGAGGCCTCATCCGGTCGCCAACCAAGGCCTCCTCAGTTTCTATTTCCTTTTGTTTCCCTCATACAGCATCCTTTTGTCCTTTAGCCAGCCTCATCATCCCAGAAACTTTGTAGAATGTCCACCCCTCCGGCCTTGCCCCGTCGCTGCCGTACCCCTAACTGTGGAGGTCAAAAACGCGACTGAGAGCTCAAGATCGAGGCGCTGTCATGGTACCTATTGTTCTCGCTTATGACCTGACCTATAAGTCACATGACGCACAATTATCTTACTTATTTGTATGATTGATGCTAGCGCAAGAATGAAGTATAAATATCTAAGTAGTTGCACTCTAGGATAGATTGTGCAACATCTTATTAATATATTCTTACCCGTACTTCGTCCTCTCGTACCTCCGATTTGCTTGTGACTCCGTTCCAACGAGACCTACCCGTGATAGGCACCAGTGCCCCAGCCTTTGTCGAACGCTCAGTTTGGTATGCCGGCGAAATGTCGTACGTATTTCGTCGGAAGGGTTTCGTCGCAGGTCGGGTTTTTGATGCCCTTGGACGAGGTGAGTACGCATTTAAGGCCAGTATTCGACCGTACCTTCACAGCGACTGGCAGTTGCGGAGGGTCCGACATCCCCTTACTTCTTTGTTGGCGATTTGACTCTTGGAGGTATGGGATTGCTTTGGTAGGTGGTGAGATGATTGTGGAGAGGGCCCCGAGATAAGTTTTGCTGGGAGCGATTTTGCAGAAAAAAAAAGATAGATCTTGAAGGTGTCGCTTGTTGTAATACAAAAATGAGACAGGTTATAGGCTGTCTGCGGTTCGTATCTGGGGTGTAGATGGTTGATTTCCTTGAGTTGTGCAGTCGTGAAATCTCTGCAAGTCGTATTTTCGACCAAAAATGAGCCAACATCACTCCTATCGATTGCCAACACGACGAAAACTCTCAAATTTACCCTTTGCCGTGACTGAATCTCGGCTCTGGGCGAATATTTCATACCCAGGTTCATAGAGGACACCACTGATAGGTGTTCAGCCTTCGTCCTCCCCCAAGCGTTACGTGCCGTGCTTTGCGCCAACTTTGGCTGAGCACAAGACTCTGGCCAACTCCAACTAGAAGTTTAAAAGGTTAAAACTGTCGGAATACTTCAAGTGGACGGGTCTCGTGACAAGCTTGTTGTAACAATATTGGTATCAATTAATTCCTGTCTAACTCCCTCCCTCCTAAGTAACAACTGATAATTAAATTGGGGAGCCAATTTTTTATTCCCAGCGCTATTCTATATAAGGAAATGTTACCAAAATAAGTCACGTAACATAATACAGAACTATAATCAGACAAAAACGGAACAAAAATCGATCCACTCTACAGCCTCAATGACTGAAGAGTAGTTCTTTCTTGGTAGAGACAATGTTAGCATGTCATTGAGCAGTTTCATGAATATATCTTTGTTGGTGATGGCGGAAAATACTATGAGTTAACGTTCAAGGTGATTACCTAGTTCAATTGCAGAAGTTTTAGAAGATTCAAAGTCTATAACATTCACAGTGGTAAAATCAACAAAATCTAAGCAAATCGGACAAACTAACTTTGATGTGTTCATGCTTCTTCATTCGGCAAAAGCGTCTACAGACACATTTCAAATTGTATCATGTCAAACTGCAGATAAATTTAGGCCTATTGAATCTAGTGATGAGAAGCATTGGGTATGGGATGAAAATTCCACCCCTTGTAATTGTCTCGAGCTTTACCATTTCACCAAAAATAGTGCCCAGGAGGATCAAAGCTCCAACTTCAGATATTTTGATCTTCTACATCTGTTATTTTGGGGCGAGGCGAAGATATTCTCTCCTAGAAACTGTTTTACCTATATATATAGCATCAAGCCGGAAAGAAGTAGAGATCTCATCATTATCCTTTTACATTTATCGACTGAACCAAGGCCTCCTAGTTAAAGATCCAGTACGGACTTCAATTCAATTCACTGGACGCTTAGTGTCTAAGACATCATCAATCCAAGTACCTAACAAAATTATTAGTCATATCTTCACATATCAAGAGTGTGTGTTGGGGGACAATTACTTACTCAAATCTACAATTTTCAATGACATCGGGGCCTTCACCATAATGTGTGCGGCTGTTTAGGCCGACTATTTCATTGTCTGTGTTGAATACAACGAAATCATGTGGACCTGGGCCCTCTAGAAATTTGTAGTCATCGGTTAGTATCAAAGTACTTGGAAAGCAACTAAATAACATGGATTCTATTATTACCTGCCATGGGATAATACCATACTGTTCCGGGAACATTGTAGTTAAGACTAGTGAATACAAAAGGATATAGATCATCTGTTCTATCGGTCTGCATAACTGCCCTGGCCGACAGAACAATATCCATGGCTTGAGCTTTTGAGTATATGGGACCATTTGGGCAGTGGAATCTGAATTCTCGGTTCGGGTCAGGCACTGGTAATAGAACTGGTAATAGAGCTCGCACTGGCGGTATTACAAAAGCTTTCACTGGCGCTAAGATGCAGAAGAGTGTGGAGGCGCCGCTGATGATGGAAAACTTCATTGTAGTGTGTTCAGTAGTTGTATTTCTTCCAATCTAAGGGCTATGAAAAGCTGAAAAGCTGAAATTTGAAGATTGATAAAAATGAAGTACAGAATCTAAAAGGCTTGTCGGTGATTTTAGGATGCAATTAATATACACTCTTTTCTACCCAAAGTGTGGCTTGGCAAGTTCAATCAAGCATGTGTGAACCATTGGAGTTATGAGGCATTTGCAATGTTAGTTTAACCCATGTTAATTACTTCTTATTCCACCTTTGTGGGAACTGAAATTGCAAAGTCCCACTCGCCTTCTGTGGTGAATAATTGTCCCGAGAATAGGCCGTACGGCTAATCATGGAGATGCAGGGGAATAGGATTGGTCTCTGTATTGACATATATTTGCGTGACACATTTTAAGAGATTCGGAAATTTGCAAGCTGGTTGCACTCTAGCTCCTTGACCTCCAATCCATCAGCATGAATGATGAACTTTTACATTACGGTATAGATATACTCTCATTATAAGTGATAAATCTCTTGCTCGAATATCAGAAGAGATTTGAATTCCTAATTGATAATATGGCGCACTTGAAATCAGTCCAAGATATTATTTATATAATTTATTTTGGAAATGGAGTGACTGGGGGTTTCGGATGTGTTGGCTCTCCATTTTGTCTTGCCTGCCAATGCGATCTCGTGTGTGGTATAGGGATTGGACTGAGTAATGGATGGCTTGAAGTGCTAGCTTATTACATAAATTTATCAGAGTCCAGGCGACAATTAGAACACCGCATTGGTTGGATAGTGCAGAGGTGTATCAACTTTGCCGGCCTTTCATGCAGAGATTAGATAGCTTAGATACATATTCCCATCGAGACGGGAGATTGCTGGTTCGAATGTGGCAATACTAAATTGCATTTTGCGCGGCTCTGATATGCTTGGATATCAAAGGTTTCGAATTTACCTTTCGTGGGTACTTACGGAGGGAGGTCGCTTTCACTTGTACTTGAAGCGCACAGCGAGGGGAATGAGACCAACTGGCTGTTCACAACTCCATCGAATCGCCACGACCGGAGTGCTATTCCGTACGGATTTTGGCTCTGGTTGTTGGAATTTGAGGCGAATTCTCTGACATCACGCTTTTGCTTGACTGCCTTTCTCGGCGTAGCGTGGGGAACAGGGCAAGAGAGATTTATTGAAGTAGGACGGGGGCAGTGGGTAATCTAGTGCAACTTCTCTCCACCTCACGCTGTACTACTACATTCAGACATATCACAACATCATGCTATTGGGGAGGCATCTTAGTTTTTGACGCTGCCAAGCCACACAATTCGAAAATCACTACTACCACTACTGCTATTCTTTGGTCAGCTTTTTCTTTTGTTCCGGGAATATTGCGTCCATTTCATCGTGGGATATTTCCAACACTTACTGTTCCGACTAGGCTCTAATTAATAGTGTCTGAGCTACTTATGCTACGATCAGCCCGCTGTTCCAACTATTCGTGGGTCAAAATTAAGGCTATGCGTATTTTCGCCTCGGTATGGATTATTGGATTGACACCTGAGCCTATTGCAAAGTAGCTAGGCAAGCGGCTCAAGCAGAAATGTGTGCAGAAATGTACGGAGTGTTAAAAACTTGGAGTACAGAGATAAGTCAGCTGATGGTTAATGGCAATTATTGATGAAGGGTTTGGTTGTTGAGTTTTCTTTTATTTCTGTGTTGGGATACACTTTGTCGATCTTACTAGGCTCGATAATTAGTAGTCCCGACCGACTGGTGTTTTGTGTACACAGATTGTGTTTAACCTGTGTTAGCGTTGTTTACTGCTGTTAATAGAAGATCCTGCACGGGTTATCTATTGGGATTAAAAGAAGTCTGGTGCCTGTGTTTAGAAGAGTAGTCGAATTGACATCCTTTTATCCTCCATTATTGCTTAAGCTTCTCTCTACCAATAAGTCCCCGAGCTGCGTATGTTTGTTTATTGTTTTACGTCGAGCCAGCTCAAAACACAACCACAATTCTTTGAAACTCGAATCTTGACCTTTTCCCCCTCTATATACCTCTCGCGCTCGTAGCGTTCCCTCAATAAATAGTGATCGAGTCGCTGGCATTTTTATCATGCTACCTGTTCGAAAAAAGCGTTCCAACGCCAAGTTGGACAACACGAGAGTCTACCCGAGGGCTCTCAAACAATAACCTGGCCTTGTCCAGTCTCCGAAATGCTCGCAGATGAGCAAGGTCTCAATCAAAGGTAATGAAAAAGCCCTCCCTGCCGTCACTGAGCCCGATACTGACATGATCGGGTCAGTCGAAATTGTTGAGGAAATTCCTCAACGAACCTCCGTCCCTCACAGGATTGGAGAATCATCCAAACCTCCTCCAACCACCTCAAAACCGTCGGAAAACGCTGCACCTATAGCAGCGTCAATATCAACGTCGCAGCCAAAAGCTGCCACCAAAGCAGAATGTCCACTCGAGCTCCGATCAATGGTTGAGGCCGAGCAACGACGCGACGCCAAAACAGCGGCAAATCTGGCCCTCTGCTCCGCCGCCATCTCCCTTTGACCAACGGGCCAAACAGACAATTTATAGACTCGATGAGAGTCTACTTACGTGCCGCCACTGCGTAATACATGGCCTTGGGCTCGGCCCCCACGCCACCTGTCCTCTCTCCTCGCCCGGTGAACCCGATCCCAAGGGCTCCCGATGCCAGGAGCATACCAATTCTCGCCGTCCCAGCGCTGCCCCTAAAAAGCACCTAGGCCACTGTGGTAAAAAACGGACTGCTACAAAAAGCAGCCCCTACTGTAAAGGCTGTGCCGCGACCTGCGGCTAAAGCCCCAAATAAAGACGCCCCGAAGGCCAAAGTCGACTAACGAGTGTTCCTTCGCCTTGAAAAGGATTACCCATGGCGCAAACTGTCCACTAGTTGCGTGAGAAGTAAATTGGATACTAGATTCCTTATCTTTCACGATAAAATAACCTCGCTTCATCGAGTGAGGACCGGCCTTGCTATGCTAGCAAAGAACGAAAAAACACGACAAGAGATGCTAGATGGCTCTTCGAAGCTGGCGAGTGAAGACGTCAAACTCGAGGCATCTTCAGATCTTGTAGCCTTACAGATACCGAACGCACCTGTAAGTATAGTTACAGAGCGAGGTCCAATGGCGGTCAATTCTGAGTGGGTCTCCTACAAGATCGCTGTTACGACCGGCGCGAGACCAACACATGTCCGACCTCAAGGGACGTGTCGACTTGGGGCACTGCACCAAAACTAGCATACCATTTTCGACCGGGAAGTCACTCTCTTGCGGGCTTCCGCCTCTTCGACGAGTTTGGTAAGGCTACCGTTCACAAGCTGTTGGTACAACGGGGATCACTTGGTTAAACGACTTAAAAGCGCTAAAAACAAGTGGTATATCCTGTCTATCTCTTCTGTATCCCTCCTCAATCATTAATATCTACGATACATAGTGAAGTTAGCACCCTAACTATATCACGTGATGCGCTGACCAATTATTTTGGAAGTAAATACTTAGTCCAAGCCCTTTATCCCTACTTCATTCACCTGTGAATTGACACTAGCAAACTTTTCTATTTTCAGTTTTTCAATCTTGTTGACGCCTCACGTTGAACCCAGCCCTGAACTTTATCAAGATAATTTGTACTCACGAGATTTTTCAAAGCAACGTTAGAGGTTGACTTTGTCATCGAGTCAGCAGGATTACTATCTCCTGTAATCCAACGAGTTTCTGATAGTTCCCGCCGCTCATATATCTGCAGAATTGCCATGATATCAAACATCAACCTATTTTCCTTTGTGTTGCCTAATTTGACCATGCATTTGGATAATGAGAATGAATCAGTACAGATGACAAATGGGATTTGGTTTATATTCAGCTGCTTGGTAATCATATTTAAAGTAGTCGTAATTGAAATGGCCATATCAATTCCTGCTACCATCCTGTACAACTCCGAAGCTAGTACAGCCCGGGTAACCCCATTGCATTTGGTAGAGCTCCAATGTAGAATGTTGGCCTGTGGTCTGAATTTTCCTATTCCCGGAGATTCATTTCCCAGAACAATCAGATAACCAATTTGGGAGCTTAGGTTGTGGTTGTTCGCAAAAGAGCTGTTGACAAAAATAAAAATCTTAGCAGACTCCAAATTCAGAGGTATGTAGTGGAGTCCACGGTCTAGATTCTCCATCTGCCATTCAAGGCGCTTGTTCAGAGCTTTCATGTCTTCTTTTCCGGGATTTTTATATTGTGCGGCTATTGACTAATCATAAGCAGCTTCTGGTTGGCAAATGCTAGCAATGTAAGCGCCACGAGCTCTCTGTTTAAGGTAGGTTTCTCTGAAGTCGTCTGAGTTGGGGTTAATCTGATGAAGACGTTTTCCTTGTCTTTTCTGAGTAAGATTGAGGCCATCTCCATTTTTATCAATCACCGATTTACAACCATTAAACATCAGTGGATTATCATGAGTGAGCTTCTCTATAGGCTAGGCGAGTAGTTCTGATTTCTCAAGTTCAAGGCCCTCTTTCTCAACAAATTTCTCATCTCCTAGGATGAGGGTGTCATTGGTTTGCATGCCTACAACACCAAACGGCCCTTCTTGATTCTCGGTTACTAGAAGAAATGGATCATATGTTGAATTTTTCATCTCCAGTTTAGTTTGATGATGATTGTGGTAGGTGCCATACCAGTGGGTTCCAGATTCTGGGATTCCATAAAGAGGTTTAAGGATCTTTAGAATTTCTTGAGGACGAGTTTCCTCGCGCATTTGCTTAGGAGGGGTTGCATAAATAGGGCTTATAAGCTTTGTCTTTGACTGTACATAGGCTTGGGTGATATTGTTGGAAATATCGCGCAATAAAATGGGCGCAATATTCATGGAACGAAAGTAGAAGTTGACTAAAAGAGTGTCATTTTGGGTTACAGCTAAAAGTGTGGGAAGTGTGCGCTACAAGTACAAGTGTAAGCGACACAGAGCCTAAGCCACAGCATAAACGAGTGTG